GAAAGTAGAAAAGATTCAGCACAGAAAAGTGAAAGTAGAAAAGATTCAGCACAGAAAAGTGAAAGTAGAAAAGATTCAGCACAGAAAAGTGAAAGTAAGAAGTGTCTGAGAAAGTTAAAATAGGTAAGAGTGGGTGGGAACATCAAAGTTAGAAATACTAGTTAAAGAAACAGTAACAAATTAAAGAAGAGAAAATTAGAAGTAAAAATATGAGTCAAGGAATCTCTTAATAGTAAGAAATCTTAAAAAATTGTGATGGTAATAAATGCAACACTTTATATTCTGAATATTATAAGTAGAAAGAAAATGTTGAAAATATAAGTAGGAGAAAATAAGGAATAAGAAGAATGAAATTGAAAGATAAGAATGTAATAGCAAATAATATTGTTTATAGAAAATATAAGAAAGATATTAATGTTTCATATAAAAAAATCTATCACAGAGAGAGATAAGTTAATAATAATAGAAATGTATTAAATACCAAGGGAAGGTAACTGTGTTCAGAAAATAACCGTTTTTTTTTTTTTTTTTTTTAATGGTGGAAGAAGTCATGCAAAATAAAAAGATGGCATTTTAACTGGTAGGTTGTAATGTGAAAATAGGCAGGCAGAAAATATATATAAAAAAAAAACTGAAGGGAAATTGAAAATGGTAACATGACTTCAGTAGATTCGTGAGGAGAATATTCCAGATCATAGAGAAACAAAACACTTCCAGGATCTTTGTGTTTTTATCCAGAAGAAAATGAAAGGGAACTGAAACAGATAAAAAAAACAAAGCGTAAAAAGCAGGAAATGATCAGTAAGTTTCATATAACTGTTGTTTAAATGGAGAAGAACGGAAAATAAGTTTTTAAAATATCAGTCACTGAACATGAGGTTTGAGAATAGTATCTTGGAACTTTGGTTTAATGATAGTCTTTAGAATGACAAATAAGATGGTTGTAGATCTCTGAGAGCCAGAGAAGTCTATGTTTATATTAATTCACTTTCAGTGCAGTATACATAGGTATGGTAAAAAAAAAAAAGAAAATATTTTCTTGTTTTGTTGCAACTTTATTTAATCTATTTTTTAAAGTTTCTGTTATTCTTAAATTTATAATGGATTTATTGACTAAAAAAAAAATCTGGCAGCCATCTTGAACATAGCTTCATTCCTATCCATGATTATTACTTTTATTCAGAGAAACAAAATGAAAGCATTGATGAAGAAGCCAGATGACGACTGTGAGGAATAAGCTGGACTGTATAGAAAATACAAGGTACCCATGAGGCAGCATGTTGCAATGCCACAGGATCTAACTTTGTCAGCAACTGCAAAGCCCTGTCATCCATCTTAACTCAGAGAAGAGGGAGATATGAATTAAAGATTCTATTCATTTTTCCTCCTCTCCATCATTATCTGTTGAGCATCTGTCTTGTTCCTGTCTGTTCAGCAGATATTTTTAATTTATTTTCAAATGCAATAGTTTTTCTTCTTACATTTGCAAAGTTTAAAATGTGCCCCAAGATGTGCCTGCAGAGCTCTGAAAATACTTTTTTGCACATATATATGTACACACCTGAATTATATATATATATATATATATATATATATATATATAGAGAGAGAGAGAGAGAGAGAATATTAGTGGTAAATATACACATACATATGCAAAATATATATGCATGCATGTATGTATACATGCACATACATATATATTTTTTGAATAAAAATTCCAAGAGGATAGAATCCAGGTAGAACTCAATGTCCAGGACAGAGTCAGGATATAATAAAAAGGCTGAAACACTAATATTCCATGGTTACAATTTATTCCATTGGAATTGTAAATACGATCCAATTCATCAGACCTACAAATTCAAAAAGAAAACAGAAAAAAAAAAAATGTTTTCTTTTTGAATTTGTAGGTATGATGAATTGGATCATATTTACTTTTCCAGTCGAATAAAATATGACCATGGAATATTAGTGTTTATTATATATATATATATATATATATATATATATGTATGTGTATATATATATATATATATATATATATAATAGCTGGCCACTCATATTCAATGATACCTATCTATTCGGGTGGCTAACTAATCCCTGCTGCAGACTTATATATTATTATATTACAGACTTATCCCTATTGCTCGCTCAGGCACATTTGCATTTGTTCAACACCCACAGAGCCAACCTGTGGTTTATACTGCAACCATGCTGAGCAAACCTTAGTTACATTCTGGGAGAGAGTGTGTTATCTAGCGTGATCAACAATATGAACAAGGTCAGCACAATCCAACCCTTGGTCACGATGACTTGTGACTTTGTGCTAACATGGCTATCGACGGTCCCCCCCAAGCATTCCATCTACCCAATTTCACTCACAAGGCTTGGGTCAACCTGTAGTATGGTTTTCATACACTTTCCAAAAGGTTCTGTATGCTAGGATCATGCCCCTTCTTCCTGACGAATCAAGCATGGTGAGATTTGAACCTGGGTGTCATGGTCAGAAAGCGAACATTCTAACCACTTGGCCATGCAATTATATATATATATATATATATATATATATATATATATATATATATATACACACACACACACACACACACACAATTTATGCAAAAAAAAAAAAAAAAAAAAAAAAAGGGGTCATATATATATATATATATATATATATATATATATGAATAAAAAAGCAAAACATATTTCGTCCTCTGAGGAACTTTATCAAGGCAATGTAGGATTTATTTTGTTGCACATGTTTCTATACAAGAGCAAGCATGTCATTGGTTTATCAAGGCTTTTAAATTTGAGAATGTTCATGAATATTCATCAGGTGGTTGAGAGGTCATTCGAAACATATGGAGGACACAAAGTGCCATAATTCAATGTCTGGTAAAATGTAAGCAAGTAATATTCAAGAAAAATTTATTTTTTTCAGGAATATTCTCAAGGGCTACTCAAGGGAGAAGGTTACAGAGTAAGAGTCACAGCTTATGCGGATATATGTGGAAGATAATGGTTAACCCTAGACATGTTGAGATTGTAGTGATTGGAGAAGCAACCTCGGGGGAGCTAGTTCTATAAAACAGTAGTTTGAGATATATATATATATATATATATATATATATATATATCTACATACATACATACATATGATGATACCCAAAAGTTGGGGGATTTTGAAGAAAGTGATCTTTTACCAGTACATTTTGTGAGCCAGTGTAAGTAACCTTTTTTGACAAAATGGAATGTAAGAGTTAGAATTAAGGAATTTTCTAAGAATCAAATCACTTGAACTCTCTTTGTGCTGATCTTGGTCAGCCTTGCTTTGATCAGTCAGATATGTGTCACTACCCATGATACATGCTGAGGTTATCATTTATCCTTCTATACATGACTGACTGTTATGGTAATTTACCCATGCACAGATGGACTCTCCCAGTTACAAATAAGAGCAGGTACTTCTTTTTAGGGAGAGTAGTTTCCAGCAGTCAGCTGTGACAGTCGGACTTAACATTCTTGCTTGTTTGTATATAATTATATTACTGTTTTTCTGTTAATATATTTGTTTCACTCAATTCCTCTCTTTGTGTCTTTATTTCTAGCCCCAGCAAAGCCACAATACTGACAAGGCAGATTTTTTTCCTGCAGTAAGTTGCCATTTCTTTCTGTGGTAGATTAGTTGCCATCCAAGGCTATAGAACCTGGTCTCTCCTATTTTCCCATAGCTGGTATTAGCACGTAAGTGAATGTAATGGATTTGAGTGGAATTCAAACTTGGCTCTCTGATACCTCAATCTGAGCCACTGTCCATTACTCCATCATACCTCCTCTTTGCTTGGATAGTTTTGCATTTAAACAGTACTTGGGTTTAACTGCCAACATTTCTAGAGTCAGACTGTTTGAAATCTATAAGTGAAATTTGGAGAAAGAAGCATCAAGAAGCAACAAATTTTTATTTTTTTTAATCACCAACATTGAACAGGCACAATATATTCTAGAGACTCATGAACCATAAAAAAATATAAAAAAATAAATAGGATGCAATTAATTCATTTCGTAAAATTAAATTTACGAAAATGCAGCTCCTGAAATATGAGTCTTGAGACAAAGAAATTTGAAGCAAAATTATGAAAATAAAAGAAAAATATGATGCCATTTTCCAAATGAATATGACAAGGTTAAATCTGAATATGTCATCTGTGTAATGTGTCCATGAGTTTAATTTGCCTGTTAAAGGTCAAAGTGTTTTTCAAAATTTGCAAGGTTTCCTTTCACCTCAAGTTCAGATCAAGAGAGGCTTTGATTGTTAATTTTTATCTTTCATATTTGTATAGAAGGATCTAAAAGCCTGAAGTTTCACATTTCTTATACACCACCTCTTACATAGGAACACACGTCTCATTATTTATATATGTACATATAGCAATATTCAAATATGGCTATCTGTTTAGCTGTTTCTTTCTCTTTCTCTATTTATTGCTGAAGAATTTATATCCAATTACATATGTAGCCTCATTAAAATAAAATGATCATTTCTATACAGCAAACGTTCTACATGATATGCACTTAAATTTCATCTATTATATCAATCTAAATGGGAGATAATTAGTTGTTTTTCACATACAAAATATTCTTCTGTAGAAATATTCAAATTTTATAATGCCTCTAACATGCTAAAATTATGGAGAGGAGGCTGTGGAAGCCAGATCCAAAATATATAAAAAAAAAAAAAAGACATAAAAAATCTGTAAAGATTGATTTGTTTTTTTTATGGCTTATCAACCTTTTCCAGGTTATTTAAAGTCAGAAAACATTTTCAGATTGAACTGTTTTGAGATAATAATGATTTCTTGATATAAGTCCTACTAATTAACCCATAACTGTGGGAAGAAAAGGTGGTTTCCAAATGTAATTATGCCCATGTGAATATAACAAATATGATCAACTGAATCTTGACATGCCAATTTTGATCCATTACACCACCCACACATCCCACTTTGCAGCATATCGTATTCCCAAGCAGTCACCCATGTAGGTACTGACAAGGCTCGACATTGCTTAACTTCGATGATCATATGAGAAGTGATGTTTCAGGATATAGCCATAAGCCTCTTAAACAAGTAACATTTGTTAGTTTTTAATCAAACTTATATGTATGCATATATGTTGTGTTTAAAATTTGCTATATTTATAGGGAAGTGTTCTCTAAGACTGTACTGAGGAATGACGCCGATTTCAATGTCCACCCTTTCTACCTCAAAACCTATTCATCTAATTTTATGGGGGCTGATCTTTTCAAATGACAATGGCATAGACATACACAGAGTGATTCAGAACAGTAGAGAATACAGCAGTCACAACATTTCATTCAACTCTAAGAGAAATCTGTCAGTATGCAATATAAAAGAAAATCAACTTAATTGATAACTAATAACAATAAGGAAGAACTTTTTCAATTTGACTTTCATTCATACACTACTTCTCTTACTTTTGAATGAACTCAAAGGATCAGCCTACTTGGAAAATATATGACTGAATAAACTTTGTGATAAAGTAATGAGGAGTAATCTCCCTTGTTTTATGATTACCTCCCTTTGGAGAACTCTTTTGTTTGTAGTGGATTACACTGGTATCAAGCATTCTAAGCAGAATATAGCTTCCTTAAGCCTACTCTTGCTCTCTTTTGTTATTACACTTTAATCATACAACTTAAAATTATACATAAATGTTTTATTCTTTACTTACAAAACTAAGTTTCTCAATTAAACTGTCTAAATTCTAAATCGTATATAATACATGTAAATAAATTATGCCAATGTACCTTATTTTCCCTTTTGCCATCCAGTTACAACTGAACAAGTCTTATTTCTCAAACTTCTATGTACTGTATCTCCTCAGGACATTAACGATCATGTTTCTCCACCATTTCCTCTCCTTTGTAGCTGCAGTTAAATTTTGACTTATTATCTCTCTTAAATCTTGTTCCACCAGCCATTTAATCAAGCTCATGAGCTAGGTCACACGTTTTTTTTCTCTTGCCTTCAATCTTCCCTGTGAGTATCACATTTTCCAAGCCCTCTTTCCTCATTACATACCCACAAAATTTCAACAATCTTCATGATATGTGTCCTTTTCGTTTTCATTTTCTCTAAAATTTTGTTGTGGCTCACGTGGTATTCTCAGCATCCTTCTGTAGAACCATGTTTCTGTCGCCTCAAGTCTCTTCCTCATCTGTGTGGTGATTGTCATGTTGAAGGACTGATATCACATAACAGTTCAGTACCCTTTTCTTTGTTTCTAACAAAATTTTTCTGTTTCTTAATACTTAACTTCTACAAGTCATCTTTTGCTATTTCAATGCATTTTTGGATTTCACTGTCACATTTTCCATCCCCTGTTAATGAACATATTTCCAGCATAAAAAAAATCATCATCTCAGTTCGAATTGGGAAACTGTTCCTGCGACATATTTACAATATATCAGATTTTATTATCTAACTCGATGTTTTCACAATAAAATCTGGATTAGCCGATTGATGTTTTGTTCAATTTTTATGATACACTTATATTTATGTAATAAATCTACTATACAAATTTCCAATCATACTATTTCCTTCACTCAAAAATATTAATAACTTACTTGGTAGCATGAGATATTATGATGCAGTTCAATGGTTGTTCATGTTGGAAATTTTATATATACATGCATCAACAACAGTGACTTTCTCTCATCCTTCAGTAATGACACCAAAAAGCTTATCGATGAATATGAAAGGATCCAAGTAGATAGAACATGTATAAATTATTCAATGAAACATATATATATATATATATATATATATATATGCACATGCAAAATGGACATGATGAAAAATGTAAGCAGATGGATCAATTATTTTTAACAAGTTTTTGTTTTAATATCCTAAAATAAATAATATTTGGCTCTACTCTGTATTCAGCCGTCTTTTAAATTAAATGTTATGTCAAGTGGAATTAAACTCCATTTTTCCTGTTTTTATATATATATATATATATATATATATATATATAAATATATATATATTTAATATATTTTCTGTTTATACATTATTCTTATAGATATAATTTACGTAACTGGCACCGTTTCTTAAACAGTATTAATTTACCAGCCTGAATGTTGGAGAATTTTTGTAGAAAATATGTTTATTCCAACAAGAAAGAAATCCCTGTTCTATAAAGAACCATCAATTGATCTAACATGCTATACTACTCAGCTACAGAGAAGCGTCTGGTTAACAAAGTCTAAATTACTCTTTATAAAAAAAAAAAAAAAATCTTCGAGTAGTATAGCCCATCAGATCAATTGATGGTTCCATATAAGAATGGTAAGAATGTGTTGTTTTGGTGTAAGGAATACTGTGGTAGGATTGGGTCAGTAATTGTGGCTACCTAAGTCTAAGATAATACAGATTGAAAACTAGTTTTCCAGCAATAATTCATATGTACATAATAATGAAAAAAAAAAAAAAAAAACATTTTATATAAAAGTGTTTATTTCTACACCTAACATTAACCCTTGTTAATGTCCTTGATTCCCTGTAGAATATTAATTACAATGGTTAAACATTATACTGTTAAAATATCTAATAAAAATTATTTTAACTATGATTATTTAAACAAACTGATACTGGTAGTGTGTGGGGATATTTTTTACTAGCTATTTGCTGACTGTACCTATGTTAGACAGAATGCTAATCACTATTTGTTATACTGAAATATTGTTAATAGACTCTCCGACATATAATAATAAGTAGTAGTAGTAGCAGTCACCAGGGGGCTCAGTGAGTTGGTGAGTCAGTCGATGTTGGACATTAAAGTATCAACCACCACAACTAGATTGCTGCAGCATTAACTATTATTTCAAGTTCCTAACGTTTTGTACGTCGAACATTTTTTAGGACAGACTTAGTGAAATACAAGCCTCTACTGTGAAACTACTCTACAACACTATTAAAGATAACTACTCGGGCAGATTTTGCATATGTTGAACAAACACCAAACCAACCTGTGGTTTCAACTGCAACTATGATGAGTGAACCTTAGCTACAGTTTCTGGACAATCTGGTATGATCAGTCATTGAACAAGGTGGTATACTGAAGTGAATTTTTGCAACCACAACAACGAACACATTTCAAAAAGTTTTTCTACCCAATTTCACTTATGAGTCAATCCATGGCATAAATCTCAGACACTTACCAATGGTGCTGGGTCATACACAAGAGTCCTTTTCCCCAGGCTAATATCATCAAGAAGTTAGCACCTCAACAAATCAACCACAGGGTGACTTGAACCCAGGTCTCATGATCAGAATAATAATACTAACCATGTGCCATATATATATATATATATACTCATACAATCAAGTGGTGTTGCTTGTTATTTATGTAAGTGGTAATAGACAAAAAACTCTAGACATTGATTTTTATCAAACCAAATGTTTGGTTGAGAATAAAAACAAGTTAAAAGAAAAATGAAGCAATAAAAAAAAGTTGTGGGGAGAAGAAAATTGAAAATATATTTTTTTTCCTTTGCATTCCTCTTTTTTTCATTATACAGTTACTCTTTCCTTTCTTTTTTTTATCCCTGGCAATATTTCATTCATTTTTATATATATATATATATATATATATATATATATATATATATATATATATATATATATATTTAATTTTCTTCATTGTTGGCCCATGCCAACTGTTGTGGCTTCATATGCTCCCGCCAAATTGGAACCATTTACAAGATAACTTCATTTAAAAGGAACGGCATTGCATTCTCTGCAGTGCAATACGCAATAATAGGCTTTTTGATTTTATTTGGCCCTGAGCCACTATTTTATGCAAGCAACATCTAGGTCTTATTTTTCTCTTTGTTTCTTTATATTCATCAATTTATAGAACATGTAACATTCAATATGTTTATTATATATATATATATATATATATATATATATATATATACTTCAGAGTAGATCAATAAATCTGTAGGCTGACAGATAAATTTTGATCTGAAAGTTGTACTCTATAATATTTTATAGCGATGATCAAAATTCACCTTTGTATTAAGTGCATTGGCATGAAATCTGGTGCTGCTGTAGTATATTTAGAGATTCTTGACAAAATCCAAAGAACTGTCTGTAATGTTATCGGTCCTAATCTGGCATTCCAATCTCAGTCAATTTACCACTCCTTGTATGTGTCTTCGCTCTGTCTTTTCTATAAAGACTTTGATGGCAATTCTTCTCCTTGGTACATTGGCGACTAAATGTAATTGTAAGTTGTACTATAATAGTCTTTTTTCATCAACTTCTCTTATAGCCTTGCTTGGGTTGAAATGATTAAAGAAAAGAAGAAAAAAGAAAGAAAAGACATGTTGCATAAATTAATTTTTACACATAAGTCTGTAGCTTATCAATGAAACAAAAAAGTATTCATTTTAGACAACAGATATTGCATAGATTAAATATTGTACATTACATATTAAAATAGGTTTTAAAATATAGGTTTTCTAACTGAACTACTGATTTTACAATATAGGATAATTAAAAACATGACAATATGAAGCTCAATGTCGTAAGCTAGGTCATGTATTTGCATACACCAGAAACCTGGGTTTGAAATTCACCACAGTTGATTTGTCAGGAAGGAAACTTCTTGATGTTATTGGACTGGATCAAGGTCTATCCCAGTGTGCAGCAACTTTGGAAAGTGCCTGAAGACCATACCATAGGTTGACCCAAGCTTTGTGAGTGAAACCAGATAAACAGAACTTTTGAGGGCCATCAATAGCTGAGCTATCACAAAGCTACAAGTCATTGTGGCTGAGGGCTTGAGCAATGCTGAACTTGTTCAAATTGTTCATCACAGTAGATAACATGCTCTCTCCCAGAAACTGTAACTAAGGTCTGTCTCAGCATGGTTGCAGTATAAACCTCAGATAGGCTCTGTGGGTTTGAGCAAACACAAATGTGCCTGAGCGAGCGTCTGCAATAGGGATTGGCTAGCCATTCTAGTAGACAGGTATCCTCGAATGCAAGTGGCCAGCTATTATTATTATT